TCACCACTTTTAAAAAATATATTTAGTCTCTTTATCCCTCTGCAATATTCTGGCAGAATCCCTCAGGATTTTCTCATGTTCACTAGCGGTCTCTATTACTAGAACCAATTCAGAGGTTTTCTGTTTTAGTTTTTCATTTCACTTACTGTAGTATTTGTTATATTTTTACTTCACTATTTTTTTCTGTTCTCTTTTGCTATATTTTCTTTTTTTCCCCAGTTGTCTTGTACTTTTTATATCTCTTTGAAAATCCTTAACTTCAAATGGATTTTCATTTTTCTCTATTATATTTTCATATTTTATCTAGACTGAATTTATCTCATGGCTGCTGTTCCTAAATTAGCATTCTTCATAAATTTTGGAATACCAGTTCCCAGATCCACCTTGACTGGAAGCCTGTCATGTTCCGTAGTGTGGCTAGGGGGCATCTATCTCACATTCATATTGTGAAAAGTGCAATCCAGATGCCAAGCTATTGGATGATATAGTCTTTGCCTCATTAATTGGCATTATCTACTTCTTCTTGTCCCCCTAGTGATGCAGTTTTATAATAGCTCTGACCATTGGTTCACATAAACGGTGAGCACCACTGTTCTGAGCTTCCCTCACAGCAGGGAGAGCCCCACTGAAGCACCTCATTCCAGGTTGTGAATTCTTACTCAAGTTTCATCCCCAGCAGGGGCACTTTCAGTTTTTATCACTCGCTGGACCGCAAACTGCCAGCAGGTTCTACTTGCTTCCATTTCTGGAACCAGCAAGCCCCATCTACTTTGTGTTCTTTTTCTATTTCTGATCAAGAACATGAATATTTTGACTTTGAGAGTAGTTTTATCTTTCCGATTTCCTGTATTTTGCTTCAGTTAAAATTCTGATGAGAAATGGGTGTGAATTTATAAAGCATAAACTAGATGCTGTTCATTTCTTGATAAAATGGAAATGGCAGATATATTTTATTGCACTAATTAGTATTCTGGATTCACAGTTGCTAGTAGTGATGCTCATGCTGTTCTTACTTAGGCAAGTGGTTCAGTGACACTTGGATGGGGAATGAAATGGAGTTTGGTGCAATTTCCTCTGTATAATGAAAGCAAGACAGCTAAGTTACTTTTTGAACTATGTAGTTTGTTATATATACCTTGTTGATTTCAAATATTTGTTTGCTAAATTTAATGATATTTTATTTAATTTTAGTTGCTGGAAACCTGGGCTTGATACCTTGTTCTGCCAAGGATCAGTTATTCTTAATGTAACATTCAGCGAGCAGAACCAAAATATACTTTAAATATATTTTGAAGTCTTGTTCAAAGTATGAAAAGAATGAAAAAGAATCTTTTTCATTTCAAAGAATGAAAATGATTTTTCATTCAATGGGTACAGTTTTTTCTTCCTTCAAATTTCCATGTGACTGATAGCTTATCAATGTGTATTGTATGTTACAAATGAACTTGTCAGGAAAGGAATTATAGATGTCCGGGAACCAGAGATAACTTAACCTCAAGATTCATTTCCCATGCCACACCCTGGATAATGTACAGAATGTTCTTTTCTTAGGGAAAAAAAGTTTATTATTTTCAGAAAATGATTGTTATAATACATTAGTGTCAGAGTTATTGGGGTTTTATATATTGTAAGGTTTACTATGCTTTTATAGTATACAAAGATATACAGGAATATATGGGATACAGCTGCAATAAGTACAACATGAGGAGTTGCCATTATGCTCCTAATGTTTTAAAAATAACATGTTTGAGGACGTGCTTGTAATAGAAATGGAAGGGTCATGACTCAGGATAATCTTCAAAGGGGCCCGAAAGGTAAAATGTTTGATAAATTCTTACTGCACTGGGCAAAAGCAAACATCTTTCACCCAGAACAATTTCATATATCTGTTTAAAAACATCTCCTGTTTTTCTGAAGCTGGCAGTTAACATTTTATGTAGTTTGAATTCTTGAATTCAAACAAGAATTGAAGTTGCGAAACAGCTGTCGTTGTGCAGAACTTTTACCAACAAAATCATTGGAAGAAGTAATTCATGGGGGAAAAAGTAGGGGAGAAAAAATTTACCCAAACTGAGACAAAGTTAAATTAGGAGACTTTCATCTCATTCAATGAGTCCCATCTTGAGATGCTCATAAAAAGAAAAAAAATGAGGACAGTCTCAAAATGTCCACAGTGCTGGACGTGTAATGTTAAGGGGAAAATTGTGGGACCAAGGCATAAAAGAACTGGAACAATGAAGCCTGGGATTTCAGATCTCCTAAACATCATGGCTGCTCCACAGTTTCTGAAGAAAAAGGGTTCAACACCATCTTTTACATTACTATTAAAAGACTTTTTTTTTTTTTTTTTTTTTTTTTTTTTGAGATGGAGTTTCACTCTTGTTGTCCAGGCTGGAATGCAGTGGCACAATCTCAGCTCACTGCATCCTCCACTTCCTGGGTTCAAGTGATTCTCCTTCCTCAACCTCCTGAGTAGCTGGGATTACAGGTACCCACCACCATACCCAGCTAATTTTTGTACTTTTAGTAGAGACAGGGTTTCACTGTGTTGGCCAGGCTGGCCTCAAACTCCTGACCTGAGATTATCTGCCTACCTCAGCCTCCCAAAGTGCTGGGATTACAGGTAGGAGCCACTGTGCCCGACCAAAATACTTTATTTCTAATACGTTAAAAATAATTTCAACTTTTATTATAGATTCAGGGGTGCATGTGCAGGATTGTTACATGGGCATGTTGCATGTTGCCGAGGTTTGGGGTATCACCGATCACTTCACTCAGGTAGTGAGTGTAGTATCCAATGGTTTCTCAACCCTTGACTCCTCCCTCCCTCTCTGCTCTAGTAGTTCCCAATGTCTATTGGTTGCCATCTTTATATCCGTGTATACTGAATGTTTAGCTCCCACTTATAATTGAGAACATGTGGGATTTGGTTTTCTGTCCTACATTAATTTGTTTAGAATAGTGGCCTCCAGCTGCATTCATTTTGCTGCAAAGGACATGACTTTGTTCTTTTTTATTGCTGCGTAGTATTCCATGGTGCATATGTATCATGTTTTCTTTATCCAATCCACCACTGTTGGGCACCTAGGCTGATTTCATATCTTTGCTGTTATGAATAGTGCTACAGTGAACACATGAGTGCAGCTGTCTTTTGGGAGAATGATTTATTCTCTTTTAGGTATATACCCAATAATGGAATTACTGGATCAAATGGTAGTTCTGTTCTAAGTTCTTTGAGAAATATCCAGACTGCTTTCCACAGCAGCCAAACTAATTTGTGTTCCAACCAACAGTGTATAAGTGTTCCCTTTGCTCCATAGCCTTGCTGGAATTTGTTGTTTTAATAACAGCCATTCTGACTCATGTGAAATGGTATCTCATTGTGGTTTCAATTTTCATTTCTCTGACGAAGAGTGATATTGAACATTTTTTCATACATTTGTTGGTAACTTTTGTGAAGTGTCTGTTCATGTCCGTTGCCCACTTTTTAATGAGATTGTTTGTTTTTTGCTTGTTGAGTTTTATAAATTCCTTATAGATTCTGAGTATTAGACTTTTATCAGATGCAGAGTTTGCAAATATTTTCTCCTATTCTGTAGGCTGCCTGTTTACTATGTTGATATATTTATTTTGTTATGCAAAATCGCCTTAGTTTAAATAGGCCCTGCTTGTCAATTTTTGTTTTTGTTGCAATTGCTTTTGAGGACTTAGTCATACATTCTTTCTCAAGGTTGATGTCCAGAATGGTGCTTCCTACATTTTTTTTCTAGGATTCTTGTAGCTTGACATTTTACATTTAAGCCTTTATTCCATCTTGAATTAATTTTTTTATATGGTGAAAGGTAGGGGTCCTATTTTATTCTTCTGTAATGGCTAGCCAGCTATCCTAGCATCATCAACTGAATAGGGAGTCCTTTCCACATAGCTTATTTTTGTCAACTCTCAAAGCTACTTTTGTGTAACACTTTTCATATGATGTAGGAAAACATCAATTATTCATCTCAACATGTATAATTGTGGGGAGAGAGAAAGTTGGAGATTATACCCAGCCAATTCTTTACTCATTCCCCTGTCTAATGCTACCAGGTGCTCCTAAATCCAAATGTCCTAAAATGAACCTATATACTTCGTGTCCTATAAGCTGCCCTTCAATTTTACATACTGATTGATATGAAAATGCAAAATCCTGAACTGACAAGTTCAATACTTCAGAACTAGTCTATGAAATAAAACAAGAGAAAAAATTCCAACTTAGGGCATTGGAAATAGGTTCTTGAGAAGGTTAAAATAGACCAGGTCAAATCACAGGTTGCATGGGTCACCAACAGTGAAAACCGAGCAGAGGTGAGGACACCCTAGTCTTAAGTGGCTATAATTAATGATATTTGCCTAGAAATCAATAGGTCCATTTTATATATATCCACATGTACCAAACACAACCAAAAATATGGAAGAAAAAGTAACTAATAGACTTTCTTGGAGGGGGTGGTGAAAATAAATTCCAGTGTTTAAATTGAAATGAGATGAAAGCTCTTGCCTGAATGGGAAAAGTTTTCAAATAAATTTGGTAACTTAAAAAAAGATTTTATTAGACATGGGTTAACTCTTAGATACCAAATAAAATAACTTTCTAATCATATAGATCGGGGATGCAAGGCTGGTTCAACATATGCAAGTCTATAAACGTAATCCTCCACATAAATAGATTTAAAAAATTATCAGTATTCATGAATATTGCATGAAATTTTGGTTTGTCCTACAAGAATGACTACTTCGAAGGCACCTACAAAAGCATCCACCAAAAGCTCATAGATGCTGCCATTGAACAGTCACTTTGAGAGTAAACATGAGATAAGAATTACAGTCTAGGCTCTGTTAATTAGAAAGTTGGTGGGCTTATTTTAATAGGCTAAGGATGCTGCATATGACAAAGCACTGTATTAAAAACTTTTAAATGATTATCTTTTACTATATATAATTTAGTATTCTTAATTAACTACCTATCTCTCCTTTTGGGGGGCCTCTTATGCCCAAGATACTCTGCACAAAGGAGTACAATGTCATGATCAAAAGCCTAGGTTCCATAGTCAAACCACTCTGCATGTATGACCTTCAGCAAGGTACTTAACCTCTGTGTGCCTCAGTTTCTTTATCTGTAAAGTGAGGATAACAGTACCTATTTAAAGAGTTGTTGTTAACATTCAAAGTTTTAATGTGCTAAAAAATAGACTCAGAAATAGCTGTGAGAGGACTGGCACATAGATGCTTTAAATAAATAAGGGCTAAAAGATACAGTAATTTCATTTTTCCTTCACATATGGTTTCTTAGTTTTCATGAAGATTTTCATGTGCACCGTTAGTTATAATATTCCTGTGAAATATATAGTGTTTACCCTATTTTTGACATACGGGAACTGAGCAAAAAGATTGTTCAAGGCCATTCCACCAATAAGGGCCAAATTTGGAAGGAGGATGCAGGTCTCACAGCTGTTGCTTCAGGATGCAACCCATTGTGTTGCACTGTCCCTTGATAATTGAATTTTAATCAGGTCTGTGGATAAGTCACACACGCACACACACACACACACACACACACACACACACAAAGCATGAAACAACTTTGGATAAGACACAAGAAAAATAATCTCACCAGGAATATGCTTCAGGAAGCAGTTACTTCAACATAGACAAAGTCAAACAGCGGACAAGGAGGAAGCAATTAAACTGGAGTCCTCCAGTTTGTTTCATTTCACTTCTCATTATATTGAGCATATTCAGAGACTAAGAAAAGAACCCCACCTTTGAGCCTCGGGAGATCCTGGAAGCCTTCGCCAGGGTAACTGAGTCATTGCTGTGAGGCGAGCAGAGCCTCACACCCTGACACCCACAGGGAGAAAGCAATGGAGTGACTGTCAATAATTAAACCATCTGTAACCCTTAATATTGTTTGGTTCTCAGAAACAAATCAAGGACACCACACACACAATGTAATTTGGCCTTTGTAGACTTGCCCCCTGGTATAATTAGCAGATGGTCTTTCATGATGCAGGTCAGTCCAGGAGAAATCTATTTGCATAATGAAATATGCTATTTCCATGTACGCTGAAACTCAGCTTCTTTAAGTCCCTATGTTCCGCTTGTTGGGATGACTTGGAAAAGAAGTGTTTTATTATTGTCCATCCCCAGAATAGAAGCTCTAGACCTGGAAGTCCCCAGAATATAGTAGGGATAATGAAACATTTTTTTTTTTTAATATCAACAAATGAAAGAGAAATGTAGTAAGTGCCGTAAGCAATCCTAAAGGATAGCTAAGAATCTTAAAGGATTCTTTGCTTTGATATGCAATCATGAAACACTGATAGGATGAGTGAAAAATGTAATGTTAATAAATATGGTGTCTTTTGAAAGAAGAAATGTTTCAAAATGAGGCATATAGAGGAGAAGGGAAGAAAGAAAGGTGAAGAGAGAGAGAGATGTTGGAAATATTTTCTTGGTAGATAGACAAGGGGAAGTCAGAGGTGATTTTCAGGTGGAAGAGATAAAAAGAGATGAGGGCTCAGGGAACTATAAAGAAAGAAATGCTACAAGAATAAGCTCTGAGGGCATTGTCAGAAAGACTTAGAAAGGTCTAGAAAATGTTTTCAGTGTAACTTTAGAAGAGAGAGATGTTAAATTTTGCTTGACTACCCAAGTATTCACTTGCTTCATCTGCCAAAGTACATGTCACTGGAAAGGATGGGAGACCTTTCTAGAAGGTTTTCTACAGGATTTCTCTACAATGAAAATGTACAGGAGTAGAATGCATGTCCATCCGTAAGCTGGCAACTTGCCACTTAGTGGAAAGTTTATGTCAATTTAGCAAAATATAAAAGAGTACAACTTAAAGTACAATATGTAAAGCTAATACTATAAAACTAATAATTTTTTATATAGTAGCTATAATGAGATTGTCACAGCCCAGGTGGTATTACTGAAATATTGAGAATAAGATGTGTGTCCATGTTTAATGTTGTTTACCGTATGATTATTATTAAAAAAAAAAAACCAAAACACTAAAAAACCTGTAGGCAACTTAACTTTAAAACCTAGATAAAAGAGATAATTTTATGGAAAAATACTCCTTATTCAAATTGACCCCAGTAGAGAGAAGAATATCTAAAGAGAGCAATTGCCATTGTAGAAAAGGGAAAGCAGCTAACATGCTCCTTCATAATAAAAGCTTTAGACCTCGATGGCTTCACAAACTGCTTGCCTCATTCTCCCTCTGCACATGTATCCCAGAACTTAAAGTATAATAATAATAATAATAAAAAGAAGAACAGATCCCATTTAAACAAAAGGCATCAGATGCTGTGTCCTGCATCTCCCATCTTTTGCTTTTGTTTTGTTGTTGTTTTTGAGACGTGTTCTTGCTGTGTTGCCCAGGCTGAAGTGCAATGGCATGATCACAGCTCACAGGATCCTCCTGTTTTAACCTCCCAGGTAGCTGGGACTACAGGCACATGTCAACACTAGTGAGCTTTTTTTTTTTTTTTTTTTTTTTGTAGAGATGGCTATCTCATTATATTGCCCAGGCTGGTTCAAACTCCTGGCTCAAGCAATCCTCCTCCCTCAAAAAAATCATATAATCTCCACTTGATCTTAGCCAAAAGGCTGAGAAGCGATAAAAAAATCATATAATCTCAATGAACCTTAAGTCTTTTCAGGAGAGGGAAAAAGAGGTTAAACTTTTATTTTCTAAAATGAGCAAAATATTTTTTCTACAACCTGACAGATTCAACTGAAAAAGAAAACAGCAGACCAATCTTATTTATAAACATCTGCATAAAAAAATCTTAGCTCAATTACTAGCAAATAGAATTTATTTAAAAAAAAAAAACTATACATCATGACTAAGTAAGCTTTATTCTAGGAATTAAAGCGTGCTTAAATATCAGGAAATCCCATTAGTAAAATCTAACACATTAGAGTTAAGAAAAAATATCTTATGCTTATATCTGCTTATATAGACACAGAAAAGGCATTTGACAAAATTCACAATCTATTATGCTTAAAAAAAGCAAAAGCACTCAATAAAGTTGGAATTGAGGAATTAAGTCCTCAATTCAGCAATATATGTTATATAGTTTCCATTCTAATAACCATCACTTTACTTCACAAGGGAATATTTCTTGCAAAATTTAGAACAAGACCAGGTATGTGTTCACTTATAGATAAAAAGTCAATGTCTTGAATATATAAAAACTTCTAAAATACAGAAATACAAGGCTAATAATCCTATAGAAAATGACTAAAATTTTCTGTAATTCTAAACTAGTTTGTCATTAAAATAATAATAGATTAAAATAAAATAATTTTCTGTAATTCTAAAATGAGCTATAGGATATGAATAGAGTGAATTGATAAGTTTAAATATTTGTGAATAATGTGAAAAAATGCTAAGTCTCACTCACAATGAGCAAAATACAGATTAAGAACAAGAACAATTATGCCAGTTTAGCCAACATGTTGAAAACCTGTCTCTACTAAAAATACCAAAAAATTAGCTGGGCATGGTGGCGTGCGCCTGTAATCCCAGCTACTCGGGAGGCTGAGGCAGGGGAATTGCTTGAACCAGGGAGGTGGAGGTTGCAGTGAGCAGAGATCACACCACTGCACTCCAGCCTAGATGACAGAGCAAGACTCTGTCTTAAAATTAAAAAAAGAACAAGATTATGATTTAATTTCTCATTAATTTGAAAAATTTCCCTAAATTTGACAAGTATGCTGTTTGAGAAATTATGAGTGAACATGAAATTATATTTATAATGGAAGATAATGGAAAAATATAAAACACAAAGGAAGGGAATTTAATAATATCTAGAATAATTGCATACAAATTTATTCTCTCACCATGCAATACCAATTTTAGGAATCAATACAAATGAAATAAAAAGGCTTATGCTCAGAGCTATTTGATATAGCATTATTTCAAAAGCAAAAGGCAGAAGAGAAAAAATCTATATGTAGGAGATGGCTGGAGTAAAACATGGTAGACCTAAATAATGAAATGCTATGTGGCTATAAAAAGGAATGAGGGGTCAGGCACCATGGCTTATGTCACTAATCTGAATACTTTAGGAGGCTGATGTGGGAATTTCACTTGAGGATAGGAGTTCAAGACCAGCCTGGGCAACAAAGTGAGACTCTATGTCTACCAAAAAAAAAAAAAAAAAAGTTTTAAAATGAAAAAAAGTGGCATGCACCTCTAGATTTAGCTACTTGGGAGGCTGAGGTGGAAGGATTGCTGGAACCCAGGAGCTCAAGACTGCAGAGAGCTATCATTATGCCACTGCACTTTAACCTGGGAGACAGCAACAGTATGGAGATTCTCCATTAGTTATTGTTTCCTCTCTTTCCAATTTTTGATGGTTCAGATGTCTCTAGGGTGATGCTAATCATTTTTGACTTATTATATTTCATGTAATAACAGCTTATGAAACATATAATACAAAGTTCATGTGCTATTAATTTTATTGCCCTGTCAATAAGATCCAGAATTGCCTTCCTCATTCTACTTTTTAAGAATTATTTTCTCAACTTTTCTTCTGTGATTTATACTTATGGGAAACTTTTGCTTTTTGGAGTTTTTAAGAAAATTATAGCCTCTTAATTGCAACTTGTACATTTCAAAATTTTGTTTGCAATGAGAAAAATGCTTTTTAAATTATATTTCCATTTCATGGGTAATTTAAAGTAAAGCAGTATGGGATATTGGTAATGTTGTGTCCAAGTGTATTCTATTTGTCATGATTGTGTAAATACTTATAATTTCTCACTTGAGTTATCTAGTCACTCTGGACAGATATTCAGAGAATGAAGATGAACATTCTTCTGAATACAAAGACTTGGGACATTCTTTCCCTTTAACTGAGAGAAAGACAAGAAACTGAATAAGTGTGGAAATAATAATTTTCATCACAGGCATCCTTTCAGAGTGACAGTTTGAGCTCACCTTAAGGTGACATCTTGAGTGTGGTATCATTCCCTGAATGTGTGTGCTATATCTTAGGCACTACCATGGCTCCTGTTAAAGCTCAGAACATGTCATCCCAAAGTATGACAGCCTTGGTCTTCTGAGTACTTTCAATGGAAGGAAATTGGAAGGGCTTCAGAAGCAAGAAGTTCTCTTTGACCTTCTCCTACCTTCCTTTCTCCTTTTTGCATTTCTCTACCAAAAGTGGGTCATAGAAACTAGAACTCTTCTTGAAAGCAGGCCATGAAACCTATACATTTTACTCTCTGATCTTCTCCCTTTTCCCTTAAGGATCCTTATCTGATGGATGTCATGCCCTATAACTGGAAGAAGGCATGCTACATAGACAGGCCCAGAAGAATTTGAAAAAACAGGCCTTACTAGGCTCCTTCAGTTTATCACCATTACAACACACTCTTTTTGTCCAATGTTTTCAACTTTTCTGCTGTGATTTACACTTACTGGGAAGCCTTTGCTTTTTGAAATTCTTTAAAAATTTATAACCTGTTAATTGTAACTAATACATTTTACAATTTTTTACCATAATGAAAATGCTTCTGTTTTTTGAAACTATGTTTCAATGTTTTTGAAACTATATTTCAATTTCACAGCTAAGGATAAAAGGCAGCAAGGGATATTGGTAAAGTTGCATCTAAGTGTATTCTATTTCTCATGATTGTGTAAACATTTATAATTTCTCACTTCACTTCTCTAGTCCCTCTGGAGAGATATTCATTGAATGAGGACGAACATTCCTCTTGTAGTTTATCTTAGGCACTACCGTGGCCTTTGCTGGGGCTTAGAACCTGTCATCCCAAAATATGACACCTTGTTCTGCTGAGTACTTTCAATGTAAGGAAATTGGAAGGGTCTTAGAAGCAAGAAGTGTTTCTTCACAGCTGATCCTGCATTGAATCCAAGCATAAAACTGTAAAGTCTTCCCTGGGTCTTTGGGCTTTCATTTCTGAAGTCTCCTGTGTCATGTTCTACATGTCATAACAAGTGAAAATTTGTTACGCGTTTATCTTGCTTACCTGTCTTTTGTTGTGGTACTGTCAGGTAAGACCCTTGTAATGTGTGGGGGAAAAGGTTAGGGTTAGGGTTCACTTCTACAGTCTCAAGACCTAGCATCATATCTAGTACATGTTGAATTAATGCAGTTGGGTGACTGAATGACTGTTATCTCAATCTTTGCCACTGATTTGACTATTTAAGCAGATAATCTTTTCCTCCTAAATATTCCCCCCATGCCATACTGAAAGTCACAGAATATCATTTTTGCAGAAGAATAGCTTTCCTCAGTCAAGGCTAAATAAGGAAGAGGAATTGACAGCATATACCTCCTGTTCAAGTTAGAATAAACATGATTTGATCTT